ACTTGAACAGGGCGACGACAATAGTTTGCTTGTGTTGAAGACTGTTGGAGCTTGTACACTGGAGCAGGGCCAAATCGTTTTCGGATGACGGCCTAATGTCTTTCAGCTTGTCAGTGCGCTTGTTGAGGGTTGTCTGGGATACCAATCCTAGACATCACCATGTCCTCATGCTTAACAGGAACAGACGATTACCACGGTGACACCGTCGTAGTGCCAGTACGAGTATGTTCAAGATTATTGATAAACCAATGTTATCGGTCTTCACGACTAGCAGCTCTAGTAGAAGTGGTGGTGTGGTGATTGAGGTGGCAGTCGTGGTGGTGGTGGTGGTGGTGGTGGTGGTGGTGGTGGTGGTGGTGGTGGGTGGTGGTGGTGGGTGGTGGTGCTCGTAGTTTGGTAGTAATGGAGTAATGCAATGGTAGCGGGTGTGACGGTAGCGTGGTGACGCACCGGCGGTGGTGGTGACGCGGTATCGGTAGTCGTCGTCGTCGTAGTAGTAGTACTAGTAGTAGTAGTAGCAGTAGTAGTAGTAGTAGTAGTAGTAGTAGTAGTAGTAGTACAAGTAGCAGCAGCAGTGTAGTAGCAGCAGCAGCAGCAGCAAGAAGTAGAAGGCGAAGTGGTAGTAGGACGACTGGGACGAGAGTAGGAGTAGGTCTTGGTAGCAGAAGAAGGAAGAAGCCTGCAGGAAGCCCCAGGGACTCAACTCCAACCCGTAGCCCTAAACACCAAAATCCTGAGTTCTGCAGCCCTGGAGCATCTAAGCTGGCAGGTATGGCTGCGGCTTCGTGTGCCAGGAAGATTTCGTGTGGCTAGATGGCAGCTCGTCGAAATCCCCTAGACCTTAAACTCAACTCAACTTGAACCTTATCCGATACCCTACGCCCTATGCCCTAAACCCACCCTAAACCCCAAACCCTAAACCCTCAACCCTAAACCCTAAACCCGAAACCCCTAAACCCTGAAGCATGAAGCCTATGCCCAAGAAGCCCTGGAGCGACATTCCCCTTTGTTTCCCCTAGAGATCCAGAGGCTGGCGTCCCGTGGAGTGGCTGACGGTCACCCCGAACCAGGAGCGGATGCTTTTCCTGCTGTTTCTTTCGTGGTTGTACGATTTCCAGGTTTAGAACCCTAAATCCTAAACCCTAAACCGTTTAGGTTCAGGATGGTTACTTGTCGGTTTGACTGCTGTGTTGGTGTGCTGGAGTGATTCATGATTTCAGGGCTGCAGTTTCGGTGGCAAGAACCAGCCCCGGCAAATTCACCTATATACATGTATGTACGTATATGTATATGTATAGGTTTGGGTATGTGTATAGGTATAGGCAAAGGTATAGGCATAGGTATACGCATAGGTACAGGTATGGGTATAGCTATGTGTATCTGTACGTGTGTATATGTATATATGTATATATCATGCAATAGTATTACGTCGCTAATACTACTCATAATTCTAAGGCAGGGGGGAAGACCACTAAACATACGACTCATGGTAAGAAGAAGAATCAGATTGGGTCTCGGATGTGCCGTGGGTTTCAGAAATCAATGGGACATGTCCTAGGCCCCTAAACCCTAAACCCTAAACCCTAAACTCTAAACCCTAAACCCTAAACCCTAAACCGTTAGGAACCCGGGGCTTCCAGGAAGAGTGGGCGATCATGAAGGCGCTGCTGACACGTGTCGAAGGCCCTTCCAAGTGCTCCGCGTCCGCTGAATCGAACATGCCTGTGACCTTAGCCCCTCAACAAGCCGTGTAGGGGCTTGGGGGGTTGGGGTTTAGGGTTACCGGTTTTGGGTTTAGGGTGGGCAAGATCGTTAAGATCTAAACCCTCAACCCTAAACCCTAAAGAGGGGGGTTTGGAAAGCTAAGGGTTCAGAAGGTAGGCAGTGCCTGGCTTAGGGTTACGACGGTGACGAAGTCATACTAAGACATGTTTGCTCACCCTGAAGCCCCCATCGGACCTCAATAGGTAGAGTAATTAGGATTCTTTAGAGGCTTCCTTCAAAGCATTCTCTCAGGGCTACCCCTAAACCCTAAACCCCTA